GGATCATCCGCAAAACTTACAAAAGAACTACTGGAAGGCAACCGCAACCGAACCAGGATTCTGGTTGGACTCCTGACATGGCACTACCACTTAAGAAAGCACACACACCAAATAGGAGTACAGACAGAATAAACACAGTGCAGATACTGCCAAGAAGAGGTGGAGACCTCAGAACACATTTTATGTTTCTGCAAAGGTCTATGTAGGTGCAGGTACTTGCAACTAGGACAAGAAAAACCATAAGCAAAATTCTACACCAAGGAACCGTTGGCAAAACTGTGGAGGCTGGTTAATAGCCTGAAGCTGGCCAGTGATTTATAATTAACAGAGGAGCAATAATAGATCTATTTAGGTCGAGGTGTAGTAGGCCTTGTGGCAGCCTCTCTTATCCCTATCCCTATCCCTAAGTGTTCACAAAAGAAGAGGAAAGGAATGACGTAGATTAACAGCGAATGGATCAAAATGGTGTCCAAATCAGGATTTACTTCAAATTCATCGACACTTTATCAACAAAGGAATATTCAATTATAATCAGAATGTTATAGGAATGTTGTGGATGGGCTGGACAATTTAGGTTTATTACGATCTTTCACATCACGTCTTTGATACAGTTGTTTGGATATCAGGCAGCTACAATGATCATGAAAAATGAACACATAATTATGTTAATTGATCGTAGCAGCCTGATGGTTCTTAAAAATTAATAAAGAGAAACATCCAAAAATCAGTATCAAAGAAGTGGTTTGAAACATCCTAACAATCCTACAACAATTTTTACGTCCGCGGACGAGTTGTAAAATCGCCCGACAATCACCAGACTAGAGGTTCTGAATTCGAATCCCGCCATAGCCTTTGTAATTTTATAAGACTCGATCATCTAAATTAAAGTTCTTATGGTAGACTGTATTTTGTTTGAAAGGTTGCTCCTGAAATTCGTACTACCAATACCATACAAATGATAAATACATACAGTAATTAGACCCCATACAACAGTACTGTGCTAATAGTTCCGAGTCATTACATTTACGTCATAAACATTCTCGGCTTTAACCAAACACGATGAACATATTGTGAAATTTTTCTTTATCGTGGTGATGAACCTTCAATCGATCCATAAAGCATATCCTGTGTGTAAAAAAGTGGTCTAAACTGGATAATTTAAATAATTTAATCAAACGATTACCGTCAAGACACGTTTGACCATATAAATCAATCAACTCTCCCTTTGGACATATTTTCGGCTTTAAAAAAAATCGCCAATCAATCTTAATAATAGCACTTTTAACAACACAGTGCAATGATTGCGTGAATGCCCTTAACATTAATCAATGGAGAACAAGATCTTGCTATAAATAATTGACAAAAAGGAATCCAGTTAAATATATATCGATGTAATTAAATAAAGTGAAAGTTACATAAAACAATAATTCCTGTCATACAAAAAGGCTTAAAGTGTAATAACCTATAGGGTGTCGTGGACGAGAGGTCAAACTATTTTGCAATACATTTTTTATATCGTTATTATTTTTTTATGAGGGCATTTCAACTGGTTACTTACTACTTACTACATACTCAAGGTGCCGGTATTTTTGAAAGAAAAAAAATTGTATGTCAGATTCGAATGTAGGATGTATTCGAATCAAGGATCTTTACCTTACAGTGATGACCGCCGTGTCAACGCCTAAACCGTTGCAGCCAGCGACGTACCCCGTTTCATATCATTAATTAAAAAGCAATGGTCTTTGCCGGGATTCGAACCCAGAGCCGGTAACGTTGCATGTAAGAATCGTAATCGTATATTAACTTTCGAATGGGGCCAAAAATATTAGAAACATGTTTAGAATAAATCTAGTCGTGATCAGAGTTATAGAAGGAATTTTAGCGATTATTCACTGTTACTATTCGTGTAAGTAAGTTATAATCTTCGGTTTTAGAAAGGGGTCATTACTAAAAATGTTCTTTCGCGCCGGAATAAATGAAGACCTATTCGACCTGATTAATATCCTCGCATCTTCATCCGGTCATACTTTATCCGGGTATTTGCCCAAAAGTCGGTATGTAATTGCCGGTGAGAAGGCGGTACGTCTCAATGCATCTACTGATGAATGATGGATAATTAGGAGCGTTGGGGAGCTCGTCGTGATGGAGCGAAACTCGGCCGGCCCCGATCCGCGCATTCGGGGTGAAAAAATCCCGGTTCTCCGGGAGAAAATCAGGCTCATTAGGAAACAAAGAGCGCTCGTGGAGAGCATCTGTTACCAAATCAATCCCTTTCTAAACCAGATTTATATAAGTGATCTACATCGAAGGCACGCGACCCAAACCATGCCGATAGAATTTTTTCTTTTACCGAAATGATTAGGTGAAAATTTTAATTTTTCAGCAATGCTGACTTACAGTTCGCACATTTGGTAATACCAAGATTGAATTTCATTTCTTACATTAAATCGTAGCCTACTTTCTTGTAATGCATATAAAATTTAAATAAAATAAATTGGCGTCATTTTTTAAATGAAAAATACCCATCGTTTTATTTTTTATCTATGTGATGAAGGGAATTTTTTTATTTTATAGTAGTGCTGACATGGTATACACACATTTGGTATAATCTCGATTGTATGTTTCATTTCTTCAATGTTTTATCGTAGCAAAATTTCTTATAATAGATTAAAAAAATATTTAAAATCAAACTATTTCATTTGAAACGCAGGAAGGGTTCAGAGACGCCATAGTTTTATTTTCTTTACCAAAGTGATATAGTAAAACTTTTAATTTTTCCACATTTACAACTTCTTACATACACATTTTTCACCCCTTTCACGCCTTTTAAATCTACGGTATATCACTTATATGCAAGTACAGTACGGATGCTACCTCGTGGTAAGCCAGCCTGCCTTTCGAATATATCAGAATATGCGTCTAACTTGAAATCGTTGGAAAAGGGAAGAGGTCAGATGTTCAACCTACTCTTGGGAATATTGGTTTTAGCTTATGGTTAAACCTTCATGCCAAAATTTGTTGCTTCGTCTAGGAAAAAACCATATATTTCTTCCAGAGAGTCTATGTATCTGATTTATGTTTGAATGCTTATCTTTAAATCCAAACGGGTGGCTACGTGTAATGTTCGCTTTTTTAATGTTGGTTTTAGTCGAGCTGTAGATAACTACTCAACTATACTAGATACTACTATACAATAGTCAGAAGTTTGGAGATTACTGGAAGCAATGAGATGGTTCCGTAGAATGAAATTTGGTGTGGTGGTTTTTCTATCATAATTAATCTCAATCACTTTCCAGATAATAGAGACACTAAAAAACCGCGTCCATTTCAACATTCCTTTTTTTAAAGCTTGTTTCAAAATTTCTCATGTTAACACGCCAAATGCTGGAGGATTTCTACTATTTAGATTGGGTTTTATGTCTTTAGGTATTTTATGAGGGTAAATTATTAATAAAATTTTTAGTTTTTTCGTAGTAATCGTGTAAGAGACGATAAGACAAAAAATATATTATTTTAATGATTTAAAAGTGGATTAAAATTGGATTTAAAAATAACAGTATAAAATTGGCTCACTTTTTGACATAAAGAAGCACGTGAGACAGTATCATGATTCGTTCACTACTTTAATTAATGCTACAAAAGATTTAGCACGTGGAATGCTGTTAATGCAAAGTAAGATGTAAAAAGAAAAAACGTATTGGATTTTTCAATATTTTCAGAACTAGTATTGAGATTACTAAAGCAATAAGAGGGTGAGTAACAAGAAATTTTATTTGGTGGTGTAGTTGCTTTTGGCTATCATAATATATCAGCCACTTTTTAGATATTAGAGACAAACTAAATTTTTATAGCTGCATTAAATAAATGCGTCAATTTCAAATTCCTTTTTTGGTTGTTTTTCAAAATTTCTTTTCTTATCAGGTCCAATCCGTAAGCTTTCATATTATGTAGAAGTATTTATTAGGTTTCGTGGTCCGCTAATTATCAAATAAATTATTTTCGATTAATTAATTTTTACTTGAGGTTTTGGTAGAGATAAAAACCCAGTGTCACAAACGGGATTCGAACCCACGACCTTCGGCTAAATACGCCGCTGCCATACTACTTGAGCTATCGTGACTTCGATCCACTCGGACACCAACTTCCCATCTCAACCTCACCTTTTGAATTTTCCCTTCTTTTTGCCATTTTTGAAATGTCGTGTAATCTATTCGATTATCGGCGACAAATGAAATGACCACGGAAAGCTTTAGTGAATTATACTTCATTTTGTTTATTAAATTTATTAGGTTTCGTGGTCCGCTTGACCAAATAAATTATTTTCAATTAATTAATCTTTGATTAAGGTTTTGATTGGGATGAAGTCACGATAGATCAAGTGGTAGAGCAGCGGCGTATTTAGCCGAAGGTCGTGGGTTCGAATCCCGCTTGTGGCTCTGCCTTTTTCTCTCTACCAAAACCTTAATTAAAGATTAATTAATTGAAAAGAATTAGGTAGAAGGTTTTTTATTTCTTTGGTTATTTTCTTGGACGTAATATTTTTATCAGCTTTTTATATATTTTTTTAGAATTCGTCTGACATGATTTGAGTATACGTCATTTTGTTTAAAACATCTTTGTCAAACGAATCGCAAATATATTAAATTTGTCGTTAGCTCTTGGCAAGTGTCATTTTTTTTGAACCGAAGGAATTTTAACGATAGATTTTTATGATTTTAGTTTGCCACATTTACCAAAAATTCCTTCTTTGATTTTTTATGTTCTATTTTAGAATGTTTATTTTTTAAATTGTTTTATCAGCATCTTTTTTTCTTGGATAAAGTCCCAAATTTTTCAAGGATACATTATAGATTTTCTTTTTATTACTATAGTATTACATATTATTGCACCTTTTTAATATTATTAAAATTTGTCTCCTCTACGATGAGGTTGGTTTTTTTAATTTAATGTTTACGCAGATGGTATTTTGAGTTTAAAGGATGAAAATATTCCAGTCAGTAGGTTGGTCGTCTAGCATATAACATAACAAGAGCCCTAAGGATTTTTTGCTAGGTATCATTTAATGCAATGAACAACGCGACGGTAAACAACAAGAAAAGTTTGAGTTCTGATAAGACAGTGAAATACCAAAAACGTTCAATCAACTCACAGCAAGAAAAAAGACTAGTTCTAGGGTAACCAAGGACAATCACTGGTGCATGGTGAGAAATATTTTCATTATTTATTTGGTGATCGTGAGATGCGGTCTGGTGTGAGGTAGGTTTTAGAAAAACATTTTCTTTATCATCCCACGTTTGAGTCTTTATTGAGATCATCTTCAGGGCTCATAGTGCTTGTTTTACGTGTAGATGTGTCATTACTTGTGTATAATTGGACACACGTTTTCCTAAAACCTACGTCACCCCAGACCGCACCTCACGATCTCCAAATAATCTTTGGCTAACGTTCACTAAACACCAAACATTTTCATTATTCTATTATTATTCATTATTCTTTCTTCATGTTTTGTTAGAGGTTCGAATTTAAATAGTTTTTCGATTAAATTTTTCAATTTGGTGATTTCCGCTAAAATAAATTTTATAAAAAAAAACAATATAGTAAGATGTTACCTGTGTCAAAAATTGGTATTTGTTTGTGTTTATCAAATAACTGTTAATTGTTGTTAATTTGTTTGAAAATATGCCGTGATGATGACTTTGAAGCCAGGGACCGAAAGCCTGGCAAAGATGAATTTTGTTTTTATTCTTGACCACCACACTGTTCATGCATCAAATTAAAGTTCAAGTAGTCGATACCTTCTCTTCAATAAAATAAATTTAGTAAAACCATCCACCAATAGTTGAACGCAATACTCCATAAGTAAATTTTATATTCAAAAATTAGTATGTTTCATTGCCAAAAAAAAAGGAAAATGATTATTCAATGAAAGTCATTTATATCTGTACTCTGTAAATACCGTGTCGGTATTGTATAGCAGGAGAGAAAGTTTTTAATTCAATTAAGGCGTTTTCGAGAATGGATCTTCTTTTAAGGTGGGCCATATATCTTGATGCGGCTCATCAATCACAGAAAGGGTAATTACTACAAATGATGGGCCCCGTTTTGTACGAACATCTGACAGCGATCAGTCATCCGGTCGAGCCCGGAGAATTTCATTTCATATTCAACACGACTATACAAAATAATGGGCCGTATGACAATGGATGGATACACGAAAATCATACTCTACATAATATACAACAGCATCAAGAATAATCCGATTTCGATGAGATGGCACGGCATAACAAATAGCACAAAGAGAAATTTCTTAACGCTCTTCCTTGGTGCGTTCAGCTACACCACCTACTATCAGGCGTCTCACGAAGAAACCCAGAACTTCCTAGCTATAGCCAATGGAGAAGACTGTACTCCCGTCCCACAAAATTTGATTGATCTTGACATCAGCCAGTCTTTAGAAGTTCAAACAGTCAAACAACAAAAATAAAACGTGATGTCCTTGTTCGTCAAAATACGAATTTGTTAAACTCTAAGCAAAAAAATAATAAAAATTTTAATAAATCATATGTTTATTTATTTTTGTCATTGCTCATGTTTAAATAACAAGTTTTTTTTACTTCATTTATTTTTATCTTCAACTGTATTATATACAACCAGAAGATTGGATTTTATTTTATGTCTGTGGCATTACGGGCGTTATAGAGAAAGATACCCATTGGCTGCCGATCTGGTTTAATAAAATGATTTTAATAATTTAAGAGGTATCTTATCCACATTCTTTTCAGACGTTTACGTGGTAATTGTGGGGAATGGAGTAATCGTATTTGTGTGTCAGTNAAGATGAATTTTGTTTTTATTCTTGACCACCATACTGTTCATGCATCAAATTAAAGTTCAAGTAGTCGATACCTTCTCTTCAATAAAATAAATTTAGTAAAACCATCCACCAATAGTTGAACGCAATACTCCATAAGTAAATTTTATATTCAAAAATTAGTATGTTTCATTGCCAAAAAAAAAGGAAAATGATTATTCAATGAAAGTCATTTATATCTGTACTCTGTAAATACCGTGTCGGTATTGTATAGCAGGAGAGAAAGTTTTTAATTCAATTAAGGCGTTTTCGAGAATGGATCTTCTTTTAAGGTGGGCCATATATCTTGATGCGGCTCATCAATCACAGAAAGGGTAATTACTACAAATGATGGGCCCCGTTTTGTACGAACATCTGACAGCGATCAGTCATCCGGTCGAGCCCGGAGAATTTCATTTCATATTCAACACGACTATACAAAATAATGGGCCGTATGACAATGGATGGATACACGAAAATCATACTCTACATAATATACAACAGCATCAAGAATAATCCGATTTCGATGAGATGGCACGGCATAACAAATAGCACAAAGAGAAATTTCTTAACGCTCTTCCTTGGTGCGTTCAGCTACACCACCTACTATCAGGCGTCTCACGAAGAAACCCAGAACTTCCTAGCTATAGCCAATGGAGAAGACTGTACTCCCGTCCCACAAAATTTGATTGATCTTGACATCAGCCAGTCTTTAGAAGTTCAAACAGTCAAACAACAAAAATAAAACGTGATGTCCTTGTTCGTCAAAATACGAATTTGTTAAACTCTAAGCAAAAAAATAATAAAAATTTTAATAAATCATATGTTTATTTATTTTTGTCATTGCTCATGTTTAAATAACAAGTTTTTTTTACTTCATTTATTTTTATCTTCAACTGTATTATATACAACCAGAAGATTGGATTTTATTTTATGTCTGTGGCATTACGGGCGTTATAGAGAAAGATACCCATTGGCTGCCGATCTGGTTTAATAAAATGATTTTAATAATTTAAGAGGTATCTTATCCACATTCTTTTCAGACGTTTACGTGGTAATTGTGGGGAATGGAGTAATCGTATTTGTGTGTCACGTTCAGATTTAAATGAACCGCCATGCCCCTCCACACACTCAAACAGTGAAAGGAGTAGGGGCCAAGAAAGGGCTATTTTTTTCAAGTCCTAGAACATATCCCTTTCTGGCTTGTGTGGGTAAACAGCTATTTTTGGTCAAACGAAAAATTTGGTGTGCACACTATTCAAGAGAGTTAATTTTTATTACTTTGACGTCAAAATAAAAAAATAATAATTGTAATTTAGTTTTAAAAGGGTATATATTTTTATAAAGAAAAATAAAAGAAATAATATTTCATTTTAAAAGTTGTGTTAATATTTTAATTGTATATTCTAATTTGGTGGTAAAAATTTTAATAATAATAATAATAATAATTTCTTTACCTTTCTTTATGGAACTATAAAACAAGAATCAAATTCCATTTTAAAATTAAGGTTTGTAGATTTGAGATAGGTTTGTTATAGGATAAAAGGATTCTTTAAATTAAAAATAATAATTAATAAAATATATTGTCATTTTATGTGAAAATAAATTGTAATTAAAGACTCAAATTTAACAAATATTTGGTGCCGTATTTACTTTGGTTTAAATGGTATATAAAAAGTGCCTGATCGATAAATGAAATAATTGTAGTCAGGTCCGATCGTAAAATACCTCTGGGACCTTGTTTTCGATTTTCCGAATTCAGGGTTGGGCCCAACAAAAAAGAAGAAGAGACACGCTATATCACATGTGTGTTAGTGTGATTTTGTAATTTACTTTCACTAATTTCGTGGTCTGCTTGACCAATTAATATATTACAATTAATTAAGGTTTTAAATTGAGATAAAAAAGTCCATGGCACGAGCGGGATACGAACCCACGATCTTCCGCTTGATACGCCGATGCTCTACCACTTGAGCTATCGTGACCTCGATCCACTCGGACATCAACTTACCATCACAACCGCACCTTTTCAAATCATTAAATTCACTAATTTCGTGGTCCGCTTGACCAATTAATATATTAGAATTAATCAAGGTTTTTATCTCAACTAAGAGCCTTGATTATTTGTTATTTACGTTTGTAGTTGAGATAAAAAAGTCAGTGTCACGAGCAGGATTCGAACCCACGACCTTCGGCTAGATACGCCGCTGCTCTATCACTTGAGCTATCGTGACTTCGACCCGCTCGGATACTTACTTCCCATCTCAACCCCACCTTTCGAATTTTCCCTCTTTTTTGTCATTTTTCAATCCTTTTTTTATCTCAAGTAAAAACCTTAATTAATTGAAAGATATTAATTGGTCAAGCGGACCACGAAAACTAGTGAATTTGTTATTAACTATGAAAACGTCTGTGATATGTTTTGCTGGATAAAAAAACTGTTGGCATGTGAAGATCATTGAATATTGAAATATTTGGCCGATCTATAAGCTTGGCACCCGTACATCCAAAGTAGTAGATGAGTAGGTATGTCGAATGTTTTGATTTTGGTTGAGCAGGTAATAAAGCATTTTAAATCGTTTGTTGAGTATCTGTTTTTTAACCTTGTGTGTGGATTCCAAGTTAATCTTCTATCAGATGCAAATCCTAAATAGTTAACTTTGCCGAATTGAGGAACAGTATTTTATAAGTATATGCTAGGACAAGTCTACACAACTCTCACGACGGAGTGTAAAGCCAGAAACACACTTACCCGATGCAACGCTATGTGACGCTCCCCGATGCTACCCGACGCCTTGTCACGTTTTGGTAGGGTGTGCACATCTATGCGACGCCAAGCGCACCTCACGTACAGGCACACGGCGTGTATCACAAATCAGTATCACAATCGCAACGCCTCTTTTGTTCTTAATACACTATTTTGAGCAAAACAATGTAATAAATTGTTAGTTAAATTTTATAAGCACAACCATGAAATAAATTGTTAGTTAAACTTAATTGATTTAAATAAAGTTATACTGGTGTTTTGATACATTTTCTTCCTAACCATCATAAATAAAAAATTTTTACAAACACTTATGAATTTTTGATCTCGTTTATTTTGGTTTACATTAAAATAGGAATGATGTAATGAAATAACGACAAAATTACATATACTTAGTTTGAAATAATCTACAAAAAATATGAATGTTCTGTTCTGAAGCGATTCGACGAAAATTGTTTAATTTTATGAACAAAACCATGAAATAAATTGTTAGTAAAATTTTATGAGAAAAACCGTGTAATAAATTGTTAGGTAAATTGATTATATAAAAAAATGGTAATTCGGTGTTTTGATCAATTTTCTACCAAACCATTAAAAAAAAATAATAAAAACTAATGAATTTTTGATCTCGGTTAATTTGGTTTATATTAAAATCAGTATGTTGTAATTAATAAAACGACAATAATACATATAGTTTGAATAAAAATATGTGTGTCCAGTTCTTTTGTCTTCGACTGTACTCGATGCTACCCGACGAAAACATGGACAGCGGGGAACGCAGAGCGTAGAGTAGGGTAACGTAGCATAGCATAGGGCAGTTGTATCTTATGAAAAATTGGACTTTAGATTTGTGTCGGGTAGCATCGGGTAAGTGTGTTCCCGGTTTAAAGGTGATACATTGTGACTTTGAGAGGTTAAACTTTATTTTCCAAAGATTGCTCCATTTTTCAATTGTTAATGTGTGATTTTGTAACATAAGTGAAGCTTCTGTAGAAAAGATTGACTTGTTAATATGGCGGTGTCATCTGCGTATGTGGCGGTAAGTGCAATCTCATTTGTGGGCATATCAGAAGTAAAAATTATATACAACAGCGAAGCGAGTATTGACCCTTGTGCCACACCTGCAACCACTTTTTCCATCCAAGAAGTCTCCGTACCATGCGGTTTACTGCAAAAAAATCTCTCCTTAAGGTACGATTGTATAATTGGACTGGGGTAAAAATAATTTTAATTTATCAAATAATTTATAAAATTTATTTATCATAAGAAGTAAAATTATTATTAAATTGTGTGTATTGTGAAAAATCTTGTTTACCGTACCAGTCAGGTGGATATTGTGCTTTCTTTATCTCTCGTGTCATCTCTTTACAAAACAGCGGGGGCGTGCTCGTTCTTGATGATGAAAACTCAATAATTTCACGATTCCGTGAAGATACGCTTCCGTCAGATGGGATCTCGTCCGATACAGTCTGAAGTTTAATGGAGCGCGGTTCTTTTGGTATTAAGGTCAATCTAAATTTTTTTAATAAGTTCTTTATGAGATTCGTGTTATTGAGAAAAATATTAAACTTTAATTATGTGTGAATTGCGAGGTGATCGACCTATAGATTAGTCGCCTCCGATCAAATCCGGTCAGCCTAATATTACTATTCTTGTCTATCACGAATTCAGACATTCGGCCATCTTCAATGGTTGATACGAGTTATTTTCGTTTGCCTTCTTTTTTTTTACAAACGTTCTTGGAGGACCTACAGAAGTCGACAGATATTATGTTGTGTCATTTAATGCATTAGTATCTTAAACACTGGCCGAAAACGGCTTTTTATCGGCTGATCGACTCGTCACATTGTATAGCGGGAGAGAAAGTTGACTGTCGTCTCTATCGGAGGATATATGATATCGTATCGGTTCCACTGTACAATAATGCCCTAACTCTAAATATTGAGA